CCCCAAAACCCCAAAACCCCAAAACCCCAAAACCCCAAAACCCCAAAACCCCAAAACCCCAAAACCCCAGAGGAGTAAAAATTAATTGAATAATGTCAGAGAAGGGAAGAATGACTACATTTCAGTTTAGTATATTGCTTTGGGGTTTATTTTGTAGGGAAGATTATTTCTGAGAACAGAAGAAATCAAAGACCCTCGACTGCGAAACGGAAATAAAGTTAAGAGCTTTGATTCTAGAAAGTTTTGTCCAACTAAGAGAGGGAAGAAGGATATCAGAAGTAGCGTAGATGATTCCATCTCTGAATGGCCTCCCTTCCAGAATGAAGCCTTTATAAAAATAAAAATTTCAAAATCCAAGAGAAAAGAGAGGAGGGTATTCTCAGCCAAAAGACGTGGTTGAGGAAAAAGTATGAATCTGATATTATATTAATAGATAAATAAAACATCAATTATTACGGGAAAGAATTCTATAAATCTGGCAAATTTCACGTTTGATGCCAAATATTGCAATAAGAATAAAAACGCATCCAATTTTTGATTTAACACACCTATAAAAGTAGACTCTAAGGTTATTTCACAGGTAAAGGAAGTCGTAGTCCCGTCACTTCAAAACTTTAAGACAGATCCAAAATTGTTCTTTAGCCCTAAAAACGTGAAGTCTTTAAAGAAGTTGTTTGAGTCAAAACATTATAAGTATGGGGTAAGTCTGGGTGATTCATTTCTTTACTTTTTATAGTCAAAAAGAGAAGGCAGCAGAAGAGTTGCCCTTTCTTTGAAAAGTGCCAAAAAGGATACTACTAATAAGAGGATTACATCTGCATGAAGAGATATAGACAAAAAGCACCAAGAAGAAGGTATTATGAGAAGGAACAAATTACTTATCGAGCATGTTATCCAGCAAAGAATTAAGAATCAAAGGAGATATGAACCATTTAGTGCCCGTAGGATTATATTTTAGAACTTATTTCAACGCATTATCAATTGAAGGGGTTTTGGGGTTTTGGGGTTTTGGGGTTTTGGGGTTTTGGGGTTTTGGGG